ATATAATTGGTGTTACTTAAATATAGTACCAAACATTTTATTAACAAAGAATCCTTTGAACCTAAAAATAAAGGGGCATGTCTATTGGACAAATTACAATATTTCACCTACATATAATTTTTAGCTGGAGATTGCCATCCAAGGCAGGAGATTGGGTTCATGATGGGTAAAAAGTCTTTTTTTTTCCTTTCTTTTGTAAAGTCTTTCATTATGGGAATATAGGACTTACCTGTCAGGAGAGGATAGCTTTTTCTTTCATATTACCCAATTCTGAAGTCTAAAACTAAGAAACCTTCTGTGATGAAGCTTAACATGCTATTGACTCACTAAATCTCAATAACAGCAACATTTAAGTTGTGTGACAATGTTTACATTAATATGATAAATTACTACTTAAAGCTTTTACATGGTGTTTTACAATTTACAAAGAACTTTAGTCCTCAGTTGAGATATTCACAACACAACTCTTGCAATTCAGGATGGTTAAGTGCCCTTCCCTGAGACACTGGGTAAACAGCAAGTTTCAACTCAAAACCGGACATTCTGAATCTATATTTGTCATAATTTCAGTATAGTTGGTCATCTGTCCATATGCCACATGTCCTTCCTGTTAGCTGTGACCTGAGCACAACTTTGAGTAAAATGACCCATAAGTCTTCCATGCCCACCACAACTCTAGTCATTTAGGCAAGAGCATGAATGACAAGTAGCTGATATTTATGCTGGCTCTCCTCACTCTGTACTCGACTCTTTCCTACTATTCCTGGATGTGGCCTCAGAATCCTTCACAACCCAACCTCTGTATATTCACTACAAATTAATTAGGTTTGGAATGCCAAAGGAAACCTATTTTTTTCCACCCCTGAAATAATGTTCTGTCATGTTCTACTGGAGTTAATAAATTCTCTATAATTCCAATCTTAGGTGATTAGGGCTCTTAGCCTTCAGGTTTTTCTCATTCTTTCACTTCACCACAAAGTTGTCTTCCCCAAGGATACCTATTGGTTAAAAGTCCTCATTCCTTTCTCCAATATATACTTAATTAAGTCCAAACTCCTTCCTCTGGCATTCAAGACCCAATACCATCTGGCCCAGACACTCTTTTTGGTCACACCTGCCACTGTTCTCCAACACCAACAACATTCCCAGACAACTGGGACCATTCATTTCCTAATACACACTCCTCTTCACTCCAGCCTCTTCTCTTGATGAGCTCTATCAGAAGTGCCATCTTTCTTTTCTTATCTTACTTCAACTTCACTTGTCAAAATTCCTGCCAGTTTTTTAGGTTGGTCATTGCTGTCTGAGTTTGAATTTTGGTTCTTCCACTTACCAGCTGGATGATATTAGACAAGTAACTTAACTTTCTTGTCCTCTAATTCATTGTCTGTAAAATGGGAACAATAATACCTCATGGGGTTGTTATGTGAGTTGAATATGGGAGTTATTCTATACAAAGAACTTAGAAAATGAATGGCACATACTTTACAAACATTTGCTGCTGTGTCATCATTGTGATTTAAGAAGTCATTTTTCATTTTACACTAATACCATTTGGTATTATCTTGTGCTAAGACACTTATCACATACTGCCTTGATACATTAGTATTTGTATATACATCATATGTTCTCTTCTAAATTTCAAGTTCCTGTAGAGAACTGACCAAGAATTTAAGACATTCTTATCCCACAAAACCAATAAACACTGGTGAGTAATCAATAAATATCTATTGAACCCAGTGTTTTGACAAAATAATGCTACCTATAGATACTGGTATAACTTAGCATTATGTTTTCAAAATTTATTGTTTTCTATATCACATACAATAAGAAATAAATCATTTGCTAGAATCTCAGAGCAGGCACGCAACTTAAAAAGAATTGCAATTTACTCTCTGACTTCCGGTTTAAGGGTACTTAAGGTATTCAAAATAAATGACTACTTCTTTACATTTAATTGAACTCAAAAGACAAAAATACTTCAATCATCCCTTTTGGCCTATTCCATTGTTTATTTAGCTTACTGCTTTTCCTCAAGTCTAGCCAAATTCTCTTGACACAATGAATATCTCCCAAAGATATTATCTTCTCAATCTTTAATCCAAGTAAAGGAAGATTATTAGTTTCTCCTCAAAGGATTTATTTTCCTTGTCTTTAAATCGATTGAACTCTCTTTCAAGATTCATTTTCATTCCTGCACTGAAAAGAAAATACAGAAACTAGTGCCAGGAATCAAGGATGAATGACTTTCTGGATACATTAAAATATCATGTATTTTTTTTTCATAAAAGCTACATTCTTGTCTTGTGCTCACTGTGATTGATAAGATCCTTGGAACTTGGTTGCACTGGTGTAGATTTTCTCCATCCCAGAGCTGACAGACTTAGTTTTAGTCCCTAAGTGAACTGTTTTGCAATGGGTCTAAAAACTGTTCTCAAATATACTATGAAAACTATAGAAGGTGTTATTTGCCCCAGCTAATTTAGTGTCATGAACAGATGTGATAAAATCTCAATTTCTTCATCCAGGTCACAGCTATTCAATAAAATCAGCCCTTTGAGGGGCTCCTGAGGAACAAATCCTAATGGATGATCTTTCAGCTTGTTATTGAACCCACTAACAGTGGTTGAGTCTATATTTAATCTTTTTAGCTTGTAGACAAGACTGTCAGGAAGCGAGTAAGTGGTGGTGGTGAGGGGGAATTTAAAGGCTTATTAAAATCAGTCAGGGTATGCATGTTACTTCTCCTTGGTCTAAATACAGCTCAGCTCTCATACAGCACGAATGCAATATTTTATAACACGACTCACTGTTCAAAGAACCATGTCTCTCGCATCTAATACTTTGCATTTATTTACACCATTGGAGTGGATCATTGGATCATTTTTAATAATTTAAGAACCTTTTTCTATTACTTTTTAAGTTATACCCAGCCTAGTAAACTATTTTAAGAATGCTCCTACACAGTACAGCAAAGACTAAGAAGTTTACAAATAGTGGATGAATTTGTGGTTGAAAGCCTAATGTGATAAATGATAACCACAAAATCCCACATGTGAAGAAATACTCTGTTCTTTTTGGAAAAGGAAAGGAACTAGGGAAGATTAGTTCTAAAGTTTTCCCAAAGGTTTATGCTTTGAAAATTGGAAAAAGACCAAACTCTGGAAACTGTTAAGATTTTTTTTTTTAAGGGATTAGGCCTGAAAGCAGGCTGAGGGATAACTACTCTAAACTGAGAGATGGATTGTGCCCAATTGATATCAGATGTCTGAAGTTAAACACCAAGTAATCTTTTCATTTTACTTTTCATGATAGTGACAGGCAAATAAGAATCTATTTTTGATGCTCTTTCATGGCAGATACTGGAGAATCAGTGCTGCCTTTGTACATTTGGTGTTTATGACAGGCATATTTTCTTTGAAAGCCATGGGGAGTCAACATATACCAACCCAGGAAGTGGCATAAATGAGATGTTACCCAAAAATGGTATCTATAGCTTTGAAAATCTGTCAAAGGAAGTAAAATAATAGCAGTCATCATAATAAACCGCTTTTGATGCAGTTGCCTATTTACTTGAAAATAATGTGTTGTTCTGCTCATTATAAAATTTATTAGATATTAATTTAATAGATATTCACTGTTAAATAAGATGATTAAGAAAAGTAAGAACATTACAAAAAATAAAGTAAAAATCACTGACAGCCTTTCATTCAGATAACTATTTTTAATTTGTTTATAAGCATCCTTTCATCTCTATGCACACATAGGCACATCTAAAAGTGGATGTCCAAGTTTATATATTCAGGATAATATTGTGCAACATTCATTCCACAATATATATGAATATTTTATGTGATTATATATATTTTTAAATGACTGCTTAAAATTCTATTGGATGTATATAACTATAGGTTGATGGATACATTTGGGGCCATTGTAAATAAGATTTCAATAAGCAATCTTTAGCATGTGTATTGGAAGATTTGTGTAATTACATCTTTAAGAAACATTTATTAAATGTGGCATTTCTGGGATTAAAAAAAAACTGTACATTTAAATTTTTATACATATCACCTAACTGGCTTCCAAAAATTTTTATTAATTACTCTCAAAACAATGCATGATCGATTTGATTTACTTCTCTAACATTAAGTTTGCTGTTGCAAACTCCAAGTTCTATTTTTTATTTTTGCCAATTTGATAGATGAAAATAATATTTAACTGCTATTTATATTGATGTTTTTATAAAGAATGAAATTAAAAATATTACTTTGAAATTTCAATTCTTTTGTCAATTGTCAGTTCATTATGTCTTTGGCCATCTACATTTCTATTTTTTATTTTAAAGAACATATTTTTAAATATACATGAGGAATGATCAATTTTCTCTGCCATGTTTAGCTCAAAATTTTCCTGGATTATTGTTTGTTTTTTGAATTTGTAAGTTGTATTATTTTTATTGTCTAAAGTTTTACATATGTCTTCTTTTTTCCCAGTTGACCCTCTCCCCGCAACCATTCCCACCCTGGCCAAGCCCCCACCACCCCAATGCCTGTGTCCATTGGTTATGCTAACATGCATGCATACAAGTCCTTTGCTCTCTAAACCGCCCCTACTATTTGTCTCTGGATCTATTCTTGTTCATCAAATTATGTTGATCATTATATCCCACGTATGAGTGAGATCATGTAATATTTATTTTTCTCTGACTGGCTTATTTGTATATAGTATTTTTTAATATAGTCAAAGTTGTATATAATCAGTTATATACTTCTGGTTTTAATGTCATGAAATACTTAGAAAAATATTCAGCCATAGTAGGTTTTATTTTACTTTTTTTGCATTTAAATTCTGTCACCCATAAAGAGATTGATTTCTGTCTGAGGGTGTAGATAAGGTCAATATTTTTTATAAACAACTGTCATAATGTCCTTTAATGAAAAAAAGTACTCATTTGCATAACTATTTAAAACAACCTTTCTTTACATATAAAATGGCCAGTGCTCGCTTTGGAAGCACATATACTGAAATTAGAATGATACAGAGAAGATTAGCGTGGCCCCTGTGCAAGAATATCATGCAAATTCATGGAGAGTTCCATTTTTTAAAAAATGGCCATATACATATAAGTACAACCAATGGACACAAAACTCTGGGGAGGGGGGTAAGTATGGGAGGGGGGGCAATGTTAAATTATGTACAGAGATAATAATTGAATAAAAAAATGGGGGGGAAAATAAAAACCCATAGACCTAAAAAAATAATAATAAAAATAAATAAATAAATAAATAAATAAATAAATAAATAAATAAATAAACAAACAAACAAATATGGCCATATATACATGGTTATTTTTTGTAGTCTCTCTACAGTTCAATTGGTCTGTCTCTTCCTACAGCAGTAACATCAGTTTTGATTACTTTAGCTTTATATTATGTTTTATATCTATTGAAGAACTCTTCATTATATTTAAAGAACATCTTTAGTTCTTCTTACGTACTACTCTAAATGAACTGTAGAAACATTTAGTCATGTCTCCAAAAATTTCCTGGACTTCTAATTGATTGAATAAATGAATCTAAGTAGAATTACCTTTTGCCCTCTGTGGTGGGTTTATAATGTATCAACTTGAGTGGGTCAAACTACATTTCCAACAATTCCCTTTCTTGTATGTTTTCTGTAAGAGTGGGTCATGAGAGAGCTTTGGGCATGAAAATAAGCTGCCACCATTTTATAGCTCACACACTTCATCACTCATGACTCGTTTTGTTGGTATGAGACAGAAGTTGGACCTGAAACTGTTCCACTATCTTGGCTTCTCTTTCAGTTTCCCTGACTCCTGGGTCAGGTGTGTGTGACTCCTGGGACATGACCAAGGTCCTTAGCTTCTGCAGGACACCATTCCATGAAGATGTAATAAAGTCAGGACCAGGATAGGATAAAAGACTCCTATTGTGCCAAAGTGAAGAGGAGAGTCACTCTCGGATTTGTGAAGTACCACCCTATAATGGCACAAACCAGAGAGTACATTGCATGCCGACTAACTTTGCAGTCTAGAAGCCTCACCTACCTTACCCTGGTCCCAGCCCTGTCTGATGCAACAAGAATTGACCCAAATTTTAGTTAGGCCTTCTGAGCTCCTGCTTTGGTTTGTGAGTTCTAGCTTATACATGCTCATGGTCCAGCCTCAATCACAAAAATAATTGCTTATCAGAGATGAGATAATTTAAGTAGCTCCCACAATCACATGCCAAATCCCTATAACAAATTCCTACATACACAGAATTCAGGAAAATGTTTGAACTGATTATGGCAGATAAAGTTGAACAATCATAATGTACATAAAAATGCTCTTAAGAATTAGTAATAGAAAAATAGATAACCCAGGATATAATAAACTAATAATTCACATGAAAATTAAAATTTCAAAGGAATGTTTTAAGATTTACTATTAATCAAAGAATGAATATATAATAAGTATAAAAATCAAATATCATTTTTCACCCATCATATTGAAATTCAAAAAGAGAAAAGTTAGTATGAATTTTTAAAAGTAGTCACAAAAGCAAGGTTGGCACTTTTTAAATGTAATTTTAATATATTTGAGGCCTTTGTTATATAACGGTGTTGTTTTTTTCTATACTTATATACCTGTCTCTGAAATGCATTACCAAACCAGAAATCACCAATATTAGACAGTTTTGACTTACCAAATGGCAATTACATATGGTTCAACCAATACATACACATTTATATATGTATGTGTAAGGAAAAAGGGGGCTCAAACAAGTAACTGCAAATGCCACAAATACTAGAAACTATAGAAAGAATTGTAAAGAATGATTTGCTATAGGAGTCACTCTTATTAGTTAGAAAGAGGACAAAACAATGAGAGGCCAAATAATAAATTAGCCTAATGTACTAAAAGGAGAACTCACTGCACAAAATTACCTCCTCATCCTGTAAATGACCCTGCTATTTATAATGAATTAGTGAGACTGCCCAGCAAAGTAAACGGTGAACTAAGGGGGGAAATATCTGCAACAAACACTTGATGGGAGTGAAGAAGAAGCATCAGATGTCAAGGAAAGATCTGGTTTACAGTGTCCCATACAAGTATTTACAAAGCATTGACTATGAAAGAATTTAGTTTGAGGTAACAACCAGGTCCTTGTAGAATAGTTCTGCCATAATATTCTGGTGACCTTGCATCTCTCCACATAAGTCATGTAGGCAAGGCTTGATTGCCGTCTGACCAGTCCTGGTAGAATGCCCTGTAATTTCTCATACAACAGGAAGAAATAAGCCTGGTAAGAATTCACCAAGGGACAGCTTCTTATCCCTATATCGTGGGAGAGTGCCTCAAGGCTGTTTCTCATTCTCATCCATCTCCCCAGTTCTAGTTGAGAACAGGACTTTGATCTTGACCTTCCCTTGAGGTACAGCTGCAGGCTTCAGTGTATGACTATAAAACTCCTTGGCTGCTATTTAGCTGGCTCCCCTGCAACAGAGTTGCCCACCACTCATATTGTATGTTGTCTGGTGTCATCTTGTGATACTAGTCACACAGGAAGTTGACACAGGTTGGTTGCTTTTTCTGTCTGAAGCCATGTGGGCTCATGGTTTTCTTACCAGCTGAACTGATGGGGGTGTGTAGCAAGCAAGCTCACAGGTGCAGTGGTCATAGTTGTGGTCCTGTTAGTCACGGTGCTACTATTTTGGGAATGCTCAGCTGCCTGACACCTCTCTAGCCCAACCAAAATCAATTGTACAGTAGCTGAGAAACAATATCTCAGTTGGTCTGAATGATTATCCTCTGTGTTTTGGATCTGACATGATTAATGACACCTTGAAGAGGTAGAAAAAGAAATACAAAGAAAGAAAAAGAGCAAACACATAACTTTTCCATGTTGAACAGCGTAAATGACATGATGTTTATCATTGTACTAATTTGTGTGTATTTTAAGGTAGAAGTCCTTAAGAAACTCTGATATATTAAATATTTTTACCTTTCTAAGATTTAGGACATTTGTGTGAGTTTGAAATTAACATCAAAATGTTTAAAAGAAATTTATAACATAACATTTTGAAATTTATTAGTTGTATAAGTAGTGTTTAAATTTTTTTAATTTAACTGATTTATAAATCATTAAATTGAAATAATTAAAATTAGAAGCAAATGTTCTTTCCTTCAAAGAAGCCCAGACATTATAGATTTCAACTATGTCTCTCCCTCCTCTCTGTCTAGCCTCCTTCCTCAAGTGCACACACATAATACCAGCCCAACATTTGGAGTCCATTGATGTCACTAAATTTACACTGTCCATTACCTGCTTCGGGTTCTCACATGTCTCCTTCCTTGATTACAGTCCATAGTCTATAACTAGAATTGCTCCTTTGCATACACACTCCATTTTCTTGTTCTCTTTCTACACTTACTCAACTGGCAAAACAAAAATCCAAGATTTATCCAATTGTTCCCCTACTCTATGACTTACCACCACTGGCTGATGGGTCATACTTTAAATGTATGATTAAAACTCTAAAATGGGCCTTCAGCATTTCTCAGCAATCCTAGAACTCTTTATCCAAGATGACACTTTGTACTTTCTTCTCTGTTTCAGATCTCCAATATCCTCTTTCTTTTTTTCCATTTCAACTGATGGCTTTTCTTTTCATTTAATTGGGATATTCAAAGCAATCAGAAGTAAACTACCTCATCTTCCCACCAGCAAACCCAGTAACCTACCCTTTTATGCTGTTATAAACTCTGCCTTTCTCTTAGGGCTAGAAATGGCCACCACCTCCACTTATGTATTTAAATGCATACTCTCTTGCCTATTCAAGACTTTGGTCCTGTGATTACCTGTTTTTTTTTTCTCCTACAATTATCCAATGCTCTTTGCAACAGTGTAAAAATGAACTAATTTTCACATAAAAAAAATAAGCAAACTTTATAGATGCCAAATCCTCCTCCAAGCTCCTCTTTTTTTTTAGTCTGTTTTTCAGCAAAACTTATCAGAAGAGTTTCCATACTAGCTATCTTTTTTTTCTCTTAACACTCATTCTCTCCATTTACTTAATCCAAATCACCTCACTAGACTGATTTATGTCAAGGACTCCAAGGGTTTTCCTGGTGGATTTAATGGTTAGTTTTTGGTCTTCATATTCCTCTGATTTCTTGTCTTCCCTCACTTAGCCTTAAGGATGCTCCTCTCCCTGTATTTCTATTAACTGTTACTCCTCAGTTTTCTTTGCAAGCCACTTGACTTCATTCTAAATCCCTTTCTCTTCTCCATGCCTTGCTCCCTAAATATCTCATCTAGTTCCTATCTTTAAATACTATCACCAGACTGAAGGGTCTGTTTGTGCATATCAATAAGATACAAGCAGAAGTTTTCAGCCAAAAAAGTAATGATATATTAAGAAAATGATGCTATAGCTGGAGTCACAGGTGAGCTAATACTAAAAGACCTGACTCCTGGATAGATTCAAGGGCATGAATTATATAGGAAAATATATATCATTAATCATGATAACTAAAGGGATTAGTGTTGTGGTCTCTACTTATTGGCTGGTGTTAGGGTAAGGAGTAATTAATCATTGCTTCTGGTCCTAATGTCAGCCATGGAGTGGTTCTTTCTTACTTTGCAATGATTTATTCAGTGGGGTTGTTCCTGGGTTTGGAGCTAACACACAACAGAGGCCAAGGGATCATCTTTAATTTGATTGAAAGCTCTGCCTCCATAGTCAATAGACCTAGGACCTTGTTCCTAAGACTACTGGATACTGATCAGAGCCTCATTGCCCTGAGAATTTGATGATTAAGCAAAGAAGAGGGAGGTGGGTGAATCAGGTGCTGGGTGAGGCCAATTTGAGCCAAAGGAGGGAAAAATCAAAAGGAAAGGCCAGATGAAAAAAAAAAAATAATAAGGTTTCTGAGCCATTGCAATACCATGTATACCCTGATGACTCTGAAGCTTATATTTCCATTCTTATCTCTTTCTTGAGTTCCAGACTTCTTCCTATACCAACTGCCTACTCACTTCATGTAGATACTTCCTAGGTGTATTTTTCAGAGTTTTCCAGAGAAACAGCCAATGGAAT